GAGCTGACTTTTACTGACCTGAATACCTTTTTGTTTTAAAGTACGTTTTAGGATGTCTATATACAAAATCCTATTCTTAGGTGTAGCATTACCCATGATTGCTCACACCTAGGCACTAATAAATTCTGTATGGTTTTGATTCTTAGGTGTAGCCATACCCTGACTGCCTGCACCTAGGTACTTCTCTGGTTTGTGCAAAGTTTTGGGGCATAGTTATCTTTCTGATTTCTAGGGATTTTAGGTTTTTCACTGTCCTGTGTGACTTTTTCGTCACTATCTAAAGATATGAGGTCTGTAGTTTGGGTCTTTTTAGGCTCAAGGATATCTGAGGGAGGAACACTCTTTTATTTTGGTAGCTCATTTTGCATAATCTGTTCCCCTTCGTTAACAATGGCAGAAATTTTGGAGTCCTTAGGGTGGGTACTAAGGATTTCATTTACTAGATTCCAATAGGAAAATGTGGTTACGGGAACCTTTTCTGGGCCAAAGGTGGAGTAGTAATCTTTTAAGAGTGTCACCTACCCTTTTCCACCTTTTTTCGTCAATGGTTCCTTCTTGAAGGAACCATGGATAAGGCTCCTTCAGGAAATCAAAAAGGGTGAGCAATTGTTTAACTTTCACTTCTACTTCTCTAGTTCTAAGGGCTTCCTTTAACCCCTGAACAAACAATTTGTGCTGGCTGAGCTCTTGCCCCATTATAGTCTAGCTATAACCCAGAATTCAAACGTGAGTAGTTACTCACCGAGACGTCTTCTGATGCATCTCCCAAAAGTGCCGCAGGCTTCTGTCTTGTTCCTTGTTGGGAACGTACTTCTTATTCCGAAGGCTTGTTCCTCACCGGGAACGTGCTCATTTCCCTTTGGAATCTTCGGGAACCTGTCGCTACCCCTTCAACTCGAGTGCCTGTCCGGGCACCAGAATGTCCTGGCCTGCGGGAACGTATCGGGCAGGGAAACTCGAGCGAGGGGGCGGAGGTCTGGAACCGGCACAGCGTCTCAGCACGGGAGCGAAAGAAGTATCACAGCTCACATAGTGTCACAGCTCTTGATGGTATGAAGGCTTCGCTCGTTTATTGAGGGCTAGAGCACTTTCTTATATACACAAGGCAGAGGGAGGTAGGCGGGGTTTACAACGGACCTAATTGAGGACCTGTCAGTTCTGTCTGAACCAGGAGGTCTGCATTCCTGGTGTCTGTGTCAAGGTCACACTGGCCATTTTAAGCAGTGAAGGTCATGGCAGCCATTTTGATGTGGGCGACTCCTCACATTGTGTCATATATTTTCATCCAAAAGTGGCCAACCTTGAAAAAATAAAAAAGATGTATTTATAAGAAAACTTGAAATATCAATAAAGTAGATAACTTTTTTATTTTTAGTAGGGTTTTGCTATAGGGTGCATATGCTTGCTAGAGAGAGAAAGAGACCAAGGCAGTGAGAGGAAAAGTGAGAAATCACCAGGGCAGATCGCCAGGCTGCAATCTTTCTCCATTCTCCTCCTGCAGTATTGAGAATGCATACACACATGCCTGATGTAATTTTTCAAGCCACTGGCTCTGAGATTCATGGTCAGCCATGTGGATGTGTAGATACATAATCATGGTGCCATCTCTAGTCCCATAAATAACGTTTTAAAAGAAACACCATTGTTGCTATATACAAACTCTTAAATTATATTTACTTAATGCCAACTTTCCAACAATTAGTGCATAGTATTTTTTTAGGCTAATATACTAAAAGAACTGCTGAGAGGATGTAGTATCTTATTGCTTTTGGCCACTGATCAAGGTTTACTTTAGTCAAGAAATACCATAGTGTATCAGGCAGATTAAAATTCAAAGGTTGACATGGATGGCTGTTGAGATATTGAAGATAAAATGCAAATTGTATTTCATCAGTCCTATTCTTTGCACTGTGAAGAAACTGCACAAGGTGTTTTTTTAACATAAAAAGGTTTGTTTCTAATACTGAAAATGAAAAGACTTTTTCTTTAAAAAATACTTTAGCTTTGAGTATGCTGATTTTTCAAAATAGACAAAATAGTAAAATGTTTATTTTTATTTTTATTTATTTATTTTTAAGATTTTTGCCACAGAGCATGTACACTTGCCAGATGGAGACAGAGCAAGACAATAAAAGAGAAAGTGAGAACTCAACATCTGGGGGGGATAGCCACACTACAATTTATTCTTCTCTATTCTCCTCTTGAGATTTTGAGGATGTATGCACACATGCTTGGTGTTATTTTCAAACTACCAAGTCCAGGACTTGAACCTCAGTCATGTGGGGGTACAGCACCCTAACCACTACCCCATCTACTGGTCCTCAATATGTTTATATTTCATTTACTTTTTTAAGGTTCATTTACTGAATTTTATTTCTGTAGAGCATGTGCACTTACAAGAGAGAGAGAATGTGAAAAAAATAAATAAGTGAGAAAGCAAGTAACAAGGACTGGGACTCAAACTGTGGTCATGTGGGAGCCTTAACCACTATGCATCCTGTTGGTCCCTACAATGCTTATTTTTATTATTTATTAAATTCATATATTTAGGATATTTTCTTAAAATACACTAACTAGTAATATTGCTTTTATTCATTTGTATTTTTCCTGAGACAATATTATTCAAGCTTTGCATCTTTGACATCAATGTTTCTAGTAGTACTAGAGCCATTTTGAAGAAAGGTTTACTAAGGAATAATAACACATAGTAACATTTTTTGGGGGGAGCAAGAGAGTTTTGCTACAGGGTGTGTGCTTGCCAGAGAGAGGAAGAGAGAGATCATACTCCAGTGGAAATGCCCATACCACAATCCCTTCTCCATTCTCCTCTAATGATTTTGGGCATGCATGCACATGTGCCCAGAGTGACTTTCAAGTAACTGTGATAGTGACTCAAACTGTGGTAAGCCATGTGGTTGTCGTGGCATGAGATATTCAAGGATTGAGACTGCTCAAGAAATTAGAATTTTTATGAACCTTTATTCCTGGCCAGGAACTGCCACCCTCACACCACACACAGGTAGCGTCAGAAGTGACAGTCCTATCAAACATTTTGCAGATTATTTAAGCATAAAAATCGCAAGAGGATTCCCAGCCTTCGGGGAGGGTTTGCACTGGATGGGTAGAGGGTTCTCTCCAGGGAGGAAGAGAAAAGAGGAAGGGTTAAAGTTTGGGGTCACCAGGTGTTGTGAGGGAAAAAGAGCTGCAAGGGCCTCTAAGAAGGGCCACAGGGATTGTAAAACCGTGAGGGTAAAATGTACAATATTGTACATTTTGAACAATATTTTTTCATTTACTTTTGGAAGCTGTTTACAAAAGCAGAACAGTAGTTACTGTGTTTTTTACAACATATAACTGTACATAGGGGAGGACCTGTGGAGTGCTTTTCTAACCTTGTTAGCTTAGCACACTCCATTTATTTTATTCTTTTTTTTTTTTTTTTTTGGAGAGGGTTTTGCTATTGGGGGCATGCACTCTCCAGAAAGACAGAGAGAGACAGAGAGACAGAAAGCGAGAAATCATCCCCCAGGGGGATGGCCATGCTGCAATCCCTTCTCCATTCTCCTCTTGGGATCTTGGGCACGCACGCACACGTGCCCAGCGTGAGTTTTAAGCCACCAGGTCTGGGACGCAAACTGCTGTCGACTACATGGGAGTCCAGCGACATGGCTATTACGCTAACTGCTGGTCCCAGAATACTCCATTTTTTTTAACTTTTGCCCATTGTCCATCACAGTGGGAATCCAGCACCTTAACAACTGTGCCACCTGCTGGCCACAACATTTACCTGTTTCAAGAATAATTCAGTATATGTTAGCAAATTTATAGAGTTGTTCAACTATGACCAAAATCCAATTTTAGAACGTTTTATCACTCAGAAAAATTCCTGATAGCACACTTCTCTCCCACCCTGCAAATCCACTTCTTTATGATTTGCTTTTTCTGGCCATTTCATATAAGTAGCATGATAATGATTAAAGAAAAAAAGAGTATTAACCTTTTTTTTTTCTTAAATTGCTTGTTTTGTTCATTTTTGGACTCTGAATTTTAATTTATGAGTTTGACATGTCAAGATATCTTTTGTTTTGGTACCAGCAGTTAGTGTAATGGCTATGTCACTGGACTCCCATGTAGTCGACAGCGGTTCGTGTCCTGGACCCAGTGGCTTAAAACTCACGCTGGGTACGTGTGCATGCGTGCCCAAGATCCCGAGAGGAGAATGGAGGAGAAGTGATTGTGGCATGGTCATCCCCCCTGCGGGTTGACTTCTTGCATTCTATCTCTCTGTCTCTCTGTCTCTCTGGCGAGTGCACACGCCCTATAGCTAAAACCTCTCAAGAAAAAAGATATCTTTTGTTTTAAAGTCAAGCAGAGTTGTTAGCAGTTAGCGTAATGGCTATGTCGCTGGACACCCATGTAGTTGACCATGGTTTGAGTCCTGGACCCGGTGGCTTAAACTCACGCCTGGCGCGTCTGCGTGCATGCCCAAGATCCTGAGAGGAGAATGGAGAAGGGATTGCAGCATGGCCATCGCCCCCTGGGGGGGGGCGCTTTCTCACTTTCTGTCTCTCTGTCTCTCTGTCTGGCAAACACACGCATCCTATAGCAAAAAAAACCTGTCCAAAAGAAAAAAAAAGTCAAGCAGATAATTATAATACAGTAGTTTTCACCCATAACCAAAAAAAACTCTTTAAAAGAATTTGTTCTTGTTTGGCATTAGAAAGTTTTATTAAAGGAAGATAACGACTTTTCCTAGAACTTTTGCATCATCCATTTACAATGTTTTTCTACTCTGTGCCTTGAACAGTGTGCACTTTGCAACCATGTGACCATATTTTGAAACTCACAAATGCTTCCTAGAAAAGTTTATGGCATCCAAAATTACCACCAAAATGTCTGTGTGTCTTTATGGCAAGATGCTAATTAAGTGGGAAAACAGAAGGATGTTATGCATTGGTCAGATGGTCCCTTACCTCACTAAGGCATATTTGTAGTGATGTTGGGGACCAGCTCTCATAGAGCATTTCCATTCCCTCTGTTGGTGAACGTGATCCCCCCCCCCAGTTGTTGTAGTCTCCATAGTACTGTCACTTAGAGATGGGCAGTACTTGAGCACTAAAGTTCTCTTTGTAATGTTAGTAATAATTATTATTTTACTTATTTATTATAGATTTTGCCATAGGGTTTGTACACTCACCTGAGAGAGAAATAAAGAGGGAAAGTGAGAAATCACCCTTCAGGAGGAATTCCTATGTTGCAATCCCTTCTCCTCCATTCTCCCCTCAAGACCTTGGTCTAGCACACACCCAGTATGATTTTCAAGCTGCCAGTCAATCACTCGAATCATGGTTTGCCAGGTGGTAATTCAGTTCTAGTTCTGGACCTGGCATCTTGCTTTCTCACTTTCCCTTTCTCTCTCTCTTACTCTGTTCAAAAAAAAAAAATTAAAACAAACTGTTCTTTTAAAATGTCTATGAAGGTTTTCTATTTTTAAAGAATTATTCATTTAATTATATTTTTATTATTATTTTTAAATTTGACCAAGGAGAGACAGAGAGAGAGAGAGAGAGAGAGAGAGAGAAAGGAATGGTAAGAAAACAAGCTGCCAAATCCAGGATTAAAACCATGGTCAGCCATGTGAAAGTTCAGTGCTTTAATCACCAAGCCAGTGTTGTCCCTCTTTTTGTTTATGAAAG